TTATGATGGGTCCCGAGATAGTGTTTTATGCGCGAGTGAGCTCCCCATCGGTGCAGCTCATCCCATCCTAGATCTCTCAAAGCATCCAAAAAAGGTTCCACCGGATCGAGGAGACCCTCCACGTGGATGGCACTTTGCGGCATCCGATCGCCACCCCGGACCTGCTGAACCACAAATCCTAAGGAGGAGATGCAGGGACCCAAACTATAAGTCCCTCTGCCTGGCCCCGGGAACACGGAACCAACAAAACCTGCTGGGGACCAGAATGAAACTCCGTTTTGTGGCTCCTCCCGTCACTTAGCAAGGCACTTCCCTGGCGCTTCTGGGAAAGGGGATGCCACCCATGTTGGGGGCCGAGGAAAAAAACAAAACTCGGCCCTGGCACTCTTTGCTTCAGTTATGCATCTTCCTGAGGACCATTTTTGGGGGCATCATTTTTGCATGGGGATTTGTGTCCACCAACCATTTGTCAGAATGTTTTAGCCAAAAAAGTCCTCCCTGAAAGCTGCCCCAAACCACCCCTTATCGCCTATCTGGGCCTATCGACCCCACAGCTTTCAGCTGGGGAAATACAGCGCCATTTGGGCAGGAATGACATGAAGATATCTCCCCGGATAGGGCCCCGGGCAGGCTCGCCATTGTAATGGCCCCGACGAGCATGCACCTCCAGCAGACTGAGCGAGTAAGCTGGTTAAGTAGGGGGATTCCAAAGACCTGCAAAGTTTTTTCGGCGAGAGCAAATGGGTTCTACCACATGGGTTCTATGCCATACCCGTTTGGTGGTGATTGGACTCCGTTTGTTACTTGTTTAGGGCCCCCTGAATGAGCCTGCACCCCTGTGAGCCTGCCATTGCAGAAATGGTGTCTTTTTGGGGTAACCCTTGTTTGTAGTGATCCCTGCAAGGCCAAAAGAAGAAGCGACGTCATTTTCGGTTGGGCCAACCCCACGCAAATAAGTGTGCCCTTCCTTAGGGGGCCGCCGCCCAAAAAAAATGTGGTTTTCCTTTTGGTTTCCCTTTGAAACCACACAAAACGGGGGGCGCCCTCAAACGGGGGACTGGACGTCGTCTTGTTTTTCTCTTCTCCGCCGAGGCGACAAGGACAGCAGCGCCATAGACCAGCCCAAAGCAGGCAGGAAGGAGGTGCACGCGTGCACCAGCAGCCGCAAACCTCAGACGCGGCACCGCATGGATGGAAAATGAGAATGAGGGAATGCCACCTGTAAAAAGTGGTGTTTTTTTCCCGGCGACTGTTTCTGTTTTTCAGGACCTATAAGCATTGTTGTCTGGCGCCTGTAGGCTTTTCAGGACCTATCACCACGCCTTCTTGTTTTTTCAGGACTCCCAGGTTCATTCCCAAAAGCTTGGGGTTGATTCCCTATCGGCCAGCAAGAAGACCCGACCCAATCGACGGGACCGGACCAATTTCTCACCTACTATGTGACTCGAATTGTTCAAAAAGGTGCTCCAAAGACAACCTGAAAAATTCGACTCAGGAAAAGGATCGGAGATCGACGCGCTGGGCTTCGGATGATCAATATTTTCCCATTCTCTGAACTCCTCTGCCGATCATCTAAGTTTGATCCTGAAAACGGTTCCCATGCGCCCATGTATTCTCAGCGCCCCCCCACCAATTCCAGGAAACGAGGCGACATCCTCCATGCGCTGGCTATGTGGATTGAAAACCCCGCGGAGCCCCAGATCCGTCCACACATCATCTACGAAGGAATCCCCGCGAAAAGTCATCCAAAAAGGGGCTGGTCTGTGTCAAAATAGGGGACCTTCTAATGATGGTTTCCCTTCAGGCTGCCTGAAACAAAGCGTGCCCTCAAAAAACACGCGCCCTGGTAGTGGAAGCCACTAACGTGTTCAGAGGGCTTGCCACACGCTTTCGCCTTTGAGCTGCAACCACCGCTGCACCCATTTCTTCGGGGGAGACAGCGCTGACTTGGACCGTATCAAGTTCCGCGGCCGGCGCCCCGAAGTATCCCGAAGCCTCGGAAAAGCCGCAGCGCCCGGACGATTCGCACCGTGCGAACCTTCAGGGGCAAACCCAAGTGACAATCAACATAGACCCTTGGTGTCGAATCAACAGGACACAGGCCATTCTAGAGGCTGTTAAGAAACCCTCACTTGAGTCACCATCACAACTTGGTATCTACCCAAAGCCATGTCCGCTGGCTTAGATTGACCTTCTCAGATTTGCGGGAAAGTTTAGGGCCGCTCAGGAAGGGATTTGGAGCCTTTTGCGTGATGGAAAGGTTATGTAAGAAGTCTATCCTTCTTGACTGCGGCAAATCAAACAAGTGGTCAGCTGCTACAGCAGCGCCCAAAACTCATTGGCTTTTAGTTCTACGAGTCTTAGGATCCACCTACTAAAGTTGGCTAATGACCGTTGTTTGTTTGTTTGTTTGTTTGTCTGTTTGTCTGTTTGTGCTAGCGTCCGGGAGAACAGCCCCAGAGGTTCTGCGCGTTTTCTTGCGTTTTCTTGCCCCATTGTGTTTGGATAGGGGGTGGGGTGGGGTGGGGTGGGGTGTGGGTGGGAGGGGGAGGGGGGGTAGGGGGGGTAACTTCAAACCCGCTGTACTTGTGCGCACGCTCACAGGCGTCGGCTCATGCTGCCCAATGATGACGTAGTGCTTGCTTTGTGCTTGGTTCTCTTGTTACGCATTGCAAATTTCCTCTCAATCTTGAGTCCGGTCTGTCCGGGTATCCCTGGCGGCCGTGCTGTTTGTGTTGTCTCTGACGCTTGCTTACGCCGGAACAGAACGTTGTGTTTTGAAGCTCCCTCTCCGCAAAAGAACAACCGCAAGAACTATGAGGTGTGAAAGCCCACGCCCCAGACAGACACCTGGCATTTCCAAGGTCCCTCCCAAGAAGACACATGAACAAGTCAGAGGTGCGATTTCCACGCCGAAAAGAAAGCAAACAGAAACGTATGAGTTTTGAGGCTTCACCTGAAACAGAACCAGCCAACTTCAATCTGCTACCAGGAAATATGATGGGTCGGCTGGCGAGGTAAAGCACAAACTTGCTTCGCGGGCACATATGACAGAACCTTTGACTTAAAAAATAGTAACACTGAGGTTTCGCCCAAATCTGAAATCACGGTTTCGCCTCAACGGATTCACAAAACCACACACCGACGGACCATTTCCCCCTAAAAAAATACAATCCGATTTCGCCCAAATCTGAAATCTGTGTTTCGCCTCAACGAAACGCGCAAAACCACACAGAGTTGCGCAAATAGCGCGTTTTTCTGTGACCTTCCAACAACGAAAGTGCCTTTCCCTGCGTTTCAGCGGGGCAATTAACGCGGACGCTTCCTTGTTTGTTCGGGGGGGGGGCCACTGAAATGCCCGTTGCTTGTCTCTCCTTGATCAACTGCCCTGTGTCCGCTTCAATTGATAGAAACAATCGGGTGCATAATCCTTTTTCTCCAAACGAAGCTCACTGATCACTGGCCCAAAGAGGTGCAAACAGAGACGTGTAACCCCTGCAGTATGACAACCTCAAGCCAGGATCCCGCTGTCATAGGGCCGCTCATTTAACCCCCCGAATTAAGCGATTTTTTCTGCCGGCCGAAGAATTCGGAGCGACTGCAACATAACATGCAAAGAGCCAGAGAGAGGAACGGTGGGCTGATCTCACACATTCACCCTCTCGCTAATATGAGCATGCGCCGGTTGCGAAAGTGCGTTGGCAGCCGAGCAAAGCCACCAGTAGGGATATGTAGCACCGTCGCCTTTTCAAGGGTCAAATTGTCCAACGGCTAGCATGCCTTGACACCAAACCGAGCCCCAAAGGGTGTCAAAGGTTGACTTTGGATTTCAGAACTGCCTGGAGAAGATCCCTTCCCCCCTTCCCCCCTTCCACCTTTTCATAGAATCCAAGCCCCACACCGCCCCGCCCCCAAGTAACTCACACTCATTTCCTGCTAAAAAGGCAGTAGATGGTCTTGGTAATTAATATATTTTTCCCCTAAGAATAAACCCGGACCCGCCCCCCCCCCCCTATTAGTAAATCAGCCTCGGGGACGAAACATATTTAACAGGGTGCTTTTGGGCCTGATGGGCCCCCTGGCGACAAAGATACTCATCTCTTGAAGCGGGCCCAAAATCGATCTTTTCGAATGGCTTGTAGCAATAAATTCATATGGTTTGAGAGAGGCAGGCCAGGCAGGGAAACGCAAAGGCAGGCAGGACAGTGAAGCCCCTCTGTCTAATTGCCAGCTGGTTCAAAACAACACCCTCAAGGAGCCTGGGTCCTGGACTAATTCCCAAGGCTGGAGCTGGTCTGGGTGAGAAGTCCGAGAGTTTAGTATTGGTTTTGGATTGGCCTACTCTAAAAGTAGTATTGGGGACCCGGCGGGCTGGGAAAAATAGCATTTATTAATAGAGTCCATTTGTTAAAAGGGCGAAGAGATTAAGGCCTTAGAAAGTAACGCCTGGATACTTACTGTCCCTAAATTTCACCTGCAATATCCCCGCACAAGGGAGATCCTTAACCAAAAGGTGATGCTTCAAACTAAGGGGGAAATATGAACCCTCGCAACCAGGACGATACCCCATCCGCGCCAGCTTGATGACCCGCAGGACTCGCATGAGCCCGAGGTTCCTTGGCAGCCAAATAAGCTTCGCTCGGGTTCTGGGCCGCATTGAAAATGCCACCTTGGCTTTTGTGTGCATTTTAAAGACTAGCTAAAGAGGGGACACATGAAAGAATCACAAAAGGCCAAACAGGAAAACAGCTGAACCCAAAGTCTGGCATTGGCTTAAACAACCTCACCTGGCTTTTGGCCTGGTCGTTGCCGCCAACATTGCCCAACCCAGGAGGGAGGACAGCCTGGTATGTACTAAAAGCTTATTGGGGGATACGTCCCAATACCACCAGCCTCAAATCAGACCCCCAACATGGGCACCTGTGTTCCAGAGGGAAACCCTGCCACATGCCCCAAAAAGGTGTTTGTCCCTTTGTCCCTTGGAACAAAAGAAAAAGGGGTACAGCGCCCTCAAAACGTATTGCATCCGAAAAAGAACAAAAAAAAAAAAAAAAACGGGACCGGGTTAAATGAACACCATGGCTCCCAGAGGCCAAGGGCGAAAGCACATAGAGGTCGAGGCAGCCCAAGCTCACCAGCAGCGCGTCGAAGATGTTGAAACACTCGTTGAAGTAGGACCACCTTCTCACTTGCCCTCATTGGAGGTCAACTTTTGGAACCTGGACTAATTATGGACCAAAAGGGGATAACCCGAAGGTCAACAAGTCGGCTTTGGACAAGTGAGCCTTCCGCAGTTTTGAAGGGATTGGTGATGCGAAACCTCCGGTTTCGATGGTCGATGAATAGAAATCCCGTTGTCTCCCATTCCCTGTTCAAATGTCCTTTCATCCGGCCGGACGACCCCTTCCAAACAGCGACAACATGTTGCTGAGCCGGAACAAGGAAATCATGTCAAAAGTTGAAAGGCAAGCTGGGTTCCGCAATGACATGAACCCGTTCGCTGTCCCAACAAGGTTTGCCTCTGAACTGCAACTCCAAGGCATCGTACATTTGATGAACTGGGTCAAGAGCAATCCTCCCTGCTGGGGGGAAGCTAGAGCACGGGGGGGGGGGGGGCGGGGGGGTTTGTCAAAATTAAGGGCCCTTTCTGGATGGCTTTAAGACCGACAGGAAGGCCCAAAATCGAAGAACAAAACAAAAGCAAAAACACGCGCAAAGTTCAACGGTCGGAAGTAAAGAAGTACGCCATCGTAGCCCTTGAAGCCACCGACGAGTGGTAGCTTTCATGACACTCGGAACTGAGTCATTGTGGGCTTCCACAAGTTGCCAAAAGAAGCCCGGTGGATTCCGAGCAGAAGTGCCCGCTAGCCAAACTAGATTGCAGCCACACAGGCACCAATCCCCCGCTCAAAATAACGTGGAAAAAAACATCGCCCCACGGGTTGCTCTCTCTTCTCTCTTCTATCTCTCTCTCTCTCTCTCTCCTTCTCTCTCTCTCTCTCCCTCTCTCTCAACGTCTCTGTGCAAGCGATCGCTTCGCCGAACCGCGCGCCTAAACCGCGCGAGACGCCAGATCAACTCGAGGGCAAAGGTGAGTGTGAAAACGTGCTCCAAGATCTCGGGAGGCGGGCGCTGAGATGGGAGGGGTGGATGATGGGAGGGAAGGCGGGAAGGGCGAGGAGGCCATTTATCAAGCCAGCGTTTGGCTTTCAAAGACATCGGAACCATGGTTCAGGACACTCTGGGCTGAGGAGCTTTGGGGTTACGGGTTGGGCGAGGATCGTTTAGAAGCATCAGCCTGTTTCCATAAGAATCTCCTTACGGACTGGCCCTTGGACGAGCACCTGGAGGCCCTAGTTGTTCAAATGGCCATCTCCATGCCATGTGTGTTCTACTGACGGTCACAGAGTCACATGACTGTGATGCTCTTTGGCCTTGTCCCCCACACCCCCGTTCTACTCATTGCTCGGCCTGAAAAAATGCACCGACCTTGCCGCCCTCCCCTCTGCGCCACGGCGCAAACTAGCATTCAACCCTGAAACTCGGACCCCGGGCCCCAAACACGAACAGTCACCGTGGGGAAGACTGTGGTTGAGCCAAAATGCCAAAAGGGGAAGAAAGCTCCGAAGCCATTCTGGGGGGGGTCCTCTGAAACAGACCCATTTGGGTGGCTCGTCTTTCTTGAGGTTGGACCAACCGCAAACGACCGCGACGGTTTGCCTTTTGGTTTCCCTTCGACAGACCCAAATCTCCCTCCTCCACTCGTCAGCACTCTCTTGGCCCTTCACGACAAAAAACAAAAAGAACCAAAGGGCCTTAAAGAGCGGGTCCACATCCGTGCAGCCCATGCTGTCGGGGATGCCCACCTTCCAAAGGGCATCAGAAGGGCAGTTTCGGATGCGTCAGACATACCTTGGCCACTCCATTTGTTGGGGAGTTCAGATTTACACCAAAGCTTGTGTGTGTTTTCTTCCTGGGAAACCAAGGTGAAAATCGAACTCCGCTTGAGGGTCCAACCTTAAAAAAACGAGCCACCGGCCTTCGCAGGGAAACCAAAAGGAGGTTGAAGCACTCCCCTTAGGGACCCTGAAATAGAGGGTGATGACCTTTTGGGGCCATGACTCAAAATGGGCCGTGGGAAAACCAGCAGGTCCAACTGAGAACAGTAGGGACTGCCTGAATGGCTGAAACACTTGTTCGCCAATGGAAACCTTTTGTAAACCAACTGGCTTGCCCTCACCGGACCTGGAACAAGGCGATTGATCACCTCTACGGTAACCTTTATGGCCTCTTTTTGGCAGGAAAACCACAAGGTCTTTGAGGTCCATTCGCCTGGATGGAAGTGGGCTTCGAATTCGTGGAAAATGCGTCGCTTCTGCCTGTGTTTGTAAGTTGGGCACCAGCAAAAGGATTCCTTAAAGGATGCATCCACAGCCTACTTTACAAGGAGTCGGATCTTCTAAAGCTGGCAAAAGTGATTTGAGATTCTATCTGGCCCAAATGTATCCTGAAAAGGACCCTCAACACCAAGACGCCCAAAACCCAGCTGCGCCGCATCCGACGGGGACGTCTCAGCACACCCACCCCAAACAAACTGAGGAACACACAACAAGTTGGTGGCTGTTGCCACCCTGCGCTCAACAAATAACACATTTCCGCCAAACTTCCGACCAACACAAGGAACAACAACAAGCACACCAATCAACATATTTCAACAACTTGGGTCAGCGCTCCTTAAATTTGTTGGAAAGCGTTTCTGGGTCCGTTCTGCGGCCCGTTGCTCTTGGACGGTTGGCGCGGGATTTGACCCTAATCACTAATCTCGCTGCAGATTCGCATGGAACCCAGAAAGCTGCCGACGGTTCCCCCCCCCCTGCCGGATCGGTCGGGGCCCTCAATCTGCAGAATGTCTCAAAACACTTAGCCCAACCAACCACAATACACAAGAACCGGGTGTTTTCAGCTTCTGTTTCACATTTTCTGACTCAGCCAAGCTCATCAACAGAACCTGGGCGCGTGCTTTCAAGCATGTTCCCATCAGTTGGTTTTGTTTTTCTCCTGCGCCATCCTCAGGCCTGCAGCAGCGCACCCCCCATTGGGGATTGCGTGCGTCTGACCTACTTTTTAGCTCCAGTGTCTCAGATTACTTGGGTCCTCATCAATTTCTCTCCCAAAAAAAAGCGTGACCCAATTAACTTGACCCAATTTGCTCGCGTGGCTCAGTCTACTTGGCTCCTCCTCAACTTCTCCCCCCCCAAAAAAAACACCGCGCGAGCCATTGCTCGATCGCTCACTCCGTGCGCCTGCTCCCCCACCTGGTGACCCTGGCACTCCAGCTCGAAGGCCATGACCAGGGCGTTCCTAAACCATCTGCGAGCTGGGACCCGCGTAGCTCTGCAATATGCGTTGACCCCAAATGAAGTTCAATCAATCCCTGTTTTTTTTGGGGGGCCGGGTGGGTGTCCATTTCTGGGCGAAATTTGTGGGGAATTCGGAGTCAGACCACTTTGGGAGTCGAGGTGAAAACACCCCTGGTATGCATAAACTGGGGTGATGTTAAAAGGGGTCAGCATGAACTTGTTGTTTTGCTGGTCACTTTGTGTGCTGTTTTCAACCACCGCCTTTTTCAACAGATATGTGCCGAGAGTCACGATGGAGAAGCCCTAGGATGAAAAATCTTCGGGCAAGCCATGCCCCGTGGTGTCTGGTGATGAACTGGAAACTTAGAACCCGGGGATCCGCTTCGCCGGGGATCTGTGCTATGCGGCCTCTGGGCTCGACAACTTCCCAGGCTCCCACCCCGGGGGCTCCGTGAGCCCCGGCCCCTTTTCCCAACCCCTCGCCAGCTCGAGGCACATGCAATGAACGTCTGGAAAATCCGGGGGGAGGGGGGGGTGAGGGGGGGGGGGGCCATGGAGACAGCAGTTGCCATGGAGACAGCCCTATTGACAAACCATTTTGCGGTTGGTGGATCTTGTCGCGAACAAGTTCTGCTCCCCCGAATGAATTAAAAGAAAGGAACCGTTTTGAACATCACCGGAAAAGGTACTTTCCTGTCCACATGGAACCCACCAAAGGGCCCATGGAAAAAGCGAACTGGTCTTCCAGGATCCCGAAACGTCAGGTTTCATGGCAACGTGGAGAGTAGCAATGTTGAATTGGCTGTTGCATGAGAAAACTTAACGGCCCAATGTTCAACTGTTGGTCCCACAAGAAGGGGTTCAAATCCAAATCCAGACCTATCCAACCCACCAACTAGAGCGAGTTGTGGGTACATGCTGTAAAACCTTCTTTGGCTGACCCACCTGGCGTCCCGGAATTCTAAAAGGTCCCGCGTCTGAACCCAGCCGGGCCACAGCAGCACAGCTGCACCAGCAAAAGTGTCCACGAAGGTGGTGTCCTCTTCGTGCAAATGCAACTGAGTCAGCATCACACAGGCGGTGGGGAGAGAGGGAGAGAGAGAGAGAGAGAGGCAAACAAACATATATGCGCAGATGTTGAGGTGGAGGGGGGTTGGAAATTCTATAAAAGACCCACTCCCTATTGCTTTCCTTTGAGGAAACATGGGCTGTTTCGCACCCTACATAGATATACACAAAGCTGTTCATCACTAGTGGGATGGCAAAACAACCTCAAGCTTTATAGATATATGGGTGTGGGTCAATATTCTGGTGTGGAACGTTCCGCGGTGACGCGGACGTCTGGAACGAGTCAGTTACGCAAGGTCGCTTGTTCCGGACCTCTGGGAGGACATGCGTGGAGTCCTCAAGCACACGTTCATTTAGTGTAAGATGGATAGATGGATGGATGAATGGATGGATGGGTAGATGGATGGATGAAACGACTAGGGGCGCGCCGCCATCGTTGCCACCCTCGCGTCATTGGGACACCGATGCGCTGTAGTCACGCCCGCCACGCGCGCCAGCCGATGCACAAGGCTGGGAGGCGTAAGCCGATGTCCACCGATGCGCAAGCCGATGCAGGGTATCCTTCAAAGACTTCTTTGCGTCCAAAGCCCTGGCACATGTCGTCCTTGAAGGCTTCTTGGGTGGCGGGCCACGTAAGAAGCGCAGCTACTTGCATGGCGCATGTGTGTGCATGTGGACTTGGTGGCAAATTGCTCCGCTGCGGGAACACGTCTGGAACGGGTCTGGAACGGGGTCTGGAACGGTTACGCGAGTGGCTTGCACTTTGGAATACCGAGAACGGTATCGAAAAGTTACCGTATCGTGTCGAAAGCGGCGGAATTGTATCGCACCGAACCGAACCAAAGTTCCGGAACACCGATACTCCTTTCTTCATTTTTTTCTCCTTCTTTCTTGCTCCTTTGCTCCTTCTTTCTTGCTCCACGCCATTTCAGCCTTGGCCATTGCACTTGCACACCCGACAAAGAACGACCATCTGAATCAATACTCTAGAAATAAATATACATAAGCAAGGTCTGGAACGGAAGGTCTGGAACATGTTTCTAGGCAAGGTCTGGAACGGAGGTCTGGAACGGAGGTCTGGATCGCATGTGGGTTCCGGACCCTGTTCCGGACCTTACAAATTGACTCGCAGCCATATATCTTATGGAGCCCCGAACCCCTGAGGGGTGCCTTTAGAGGAATACTTTTAATGAGCCTCTCCTTGATTCTACAAAAACACCCCCCCTACTTAACAGGTCCCCCAATTCCATTTTTTCACTCTTACCCACAAATGGAGATCTCCAGGGGTCGAATTCCCCCCTCCCCCAATTCCATTTTGAAGGTCCTTCATGAAAACACCATTTATGAAATCCACATTCCTATTTTTTTGGTCAAAAAATGTGGACCTTCAGAAAACACATTTTGAATGGGGTAGGGATACAAACACCTGCGGACCTCAAAGCGGAAGAGCCGCCAAGCCAGCCATTGCCTGCCGTACCTGCGAAGTGCGGCTCCAATATGTTTACATCACACGCATAGATGGATATATGATCAATATCAAAGATTGGTCTTTTTAAGGCCTACCCCTCAGTCATACGACCCTAGAATACGTATATATATATATAATTTTCCCAGGCCATCCAAAGACATGAGCAATCATCGTTTCATACGTCTTTAGCAAGTAAAATTGGTCTTGGGAAATTTCACGCTCATTCACGGCGCTCACGGTTTCACCTCTTGTTCTTCCACTGCACAGTGAGACATCACCGCCGCTTTTTGCGCCAGATTGGTAATGATATCGTGCGCACAATTTTTGTTCTTCGATATGATAGTGCCAGGCGCACGTGTAGGATCATCCATTGGCTGGCTGGACACGCCACAATCTACACTTCAGGGCTTGACTTCTTGCACGCTGATGCCATCGCGCGAATCACGCAGCGCAGCAGAGAAATACTTGCATGTGGCCAAGGAAAAATTCGATCCATGTGGGTCCATATCCATGCATGCTACATAGCTAGCATGAAGGCTTACCTTGTCACATGCATGGGGAAATATGCTATAGATGACTGCAATGTACATTGTTTGGCATGCATATTGCATCACCGGGCCTTTGATAGAGCTTTCAACTCCGAGCCCAACTGATTTCACAGGTGGGCCTAGTCAACAAATACCCCATTCACGGGTAAACACCGTCTTTTGGGTAAAACACCGTCCTTTTGTAAAGACATAGACACATAGTTTACTAGCGCTTTGGAAGTACTGGGTATATATGCTAGATCAAAGCTAGATGCCCTCGAGGGCTACGTACCCCTCAGTGATACGACACTGGAGATATGGCAAGTCAACAAGGAACCCATTAAACTTTCAGTAGTTCACCGTTGTTTCTTGTTCTCTTGATCAGGAATGGCTTGCTGCCCGAACATGTCACAAAATCAATCCGCAACTGAGTCACACTTTGGCCAGGCTCCAGTTCCGCTTCCCTCCAATTGATTTGAATTGGTGTTTCCCATTTGCCACCAATCCAAACCACCAACTCTTGTCCCAAAGCCAGTGCCCCACAAACACACAGACGCACACCTTTGCACACGTCTGCTTGCATTCTATTTTCTCACTTGCCCAAAGGACCCTGACATAAAAGGTTAACCTATTGGATCCTTGACAAAAGTTGACCTTTTGGATCCTCTAAACATAGGCCCGAAAGGGAAAACAAAAGGCTCAACAGATCGGCTTTGAACAACCGTTGCGATCTGTGCGAGTGCAGGGAATGAGAAATGGAATGACCCCCAAGATAAAGTGGTGGTTTCCTGGGACACCCAGGTTCATTCCATTTCTCATTCCTTAAGTCGTTCCGGGGATGGTCCAACATCATCTGCCGCCATACGCCTGGACCTGCCACTGACACGTCCTGCGACTCGGCATCCATTTGATTCTTCGACCTGAGTCGGGCCGGAGCCCAAGGGCTCCGACGAAAAAGCCGCGTGAGTAGGTTGCCAGTTGGGTGATTTGTTGCTTGGGGAATATATTATTATTGGCCCATTTGTTGATTGGGTTGGTTGGGTGACTGGTTGGGTGTTTGCGTGGTTGGCTTTGTGATTGATTGGTTGGTTGGTTGGTTGGTTGGCTGGCTTGCTGGTTGGTTGTCTGATGGTTTCGTCGATTTGATACCCTCTTTCCACCAGCCATGGAAGTTCCCAGAAGAATGTTGGATGACCATCCTCTTGGAACAAGCGCCACACCGCACATCCATGATTGCTGCAAAGAACATCTCCGTTGCACATGGGTGTGTAGGTACCGCTTTTTTGTGGGAAAGCCAAGAGGAAAACCATCATTTCGGGGGTCCCCTAAAAAAGAAAACACCCACATACAGATACTATGTCAAGTGTTTACGTCACGTCCTATGGCTAAACTCCCATGGCTCGCAAAACTGAGCCTTCCATCCTCGGCAGTTAAGGTGAATCAAAGGCCCTCGTGCTTGCTGGTGCGAGAGGCAGGGAATGAGAAACGGAATGACCCCTACAAAAACCATCCATCTTGTGCTTTCCTTTGAGGGAGAAAAGTTATGTCGGACTATTCTTGAACAAAGGGCTAGAGAAATGCAATATTTTTCGCACCCCCCCCCCCTAAGCGGGTTTTCGCTCGGTTTGCCCCAAGGTCTCCAAGCCTGAGCACCGAGCCCTGAGGCCTCTACATGAAAACCACCCCTCTGGCGACTTTGTCATGGTCCCTTCCCTTGGAGTCTTACCGACATGGGCGGTACCTTTTGACTCCCTCTTTGCCTGAAAACAATGCCTGCTCAAAGAGGGTTTCTGACACCAATAGAGGGGGTGCTAGAAACCGATCTGCCACAGGGGGCGTCCCTTTCTTTTCCCTTGTCCTTGTAGGTTGTCAACACACCTCAGAAAACATAATCCTATACCTTCAAACGGGCTCCCACTGAATGCTCAACCATGGCTCTCAAAAGGCGAGTGACGTATTCTTTTTCTTGGGACCTTGGGGTGTGTCTTCTTTTAGGGGGCCCTTTCTCGGTCGCCTTTAAAGGGAACCGCCATTGCCCCTCTAAAGGACCAGGCCTACCGCCGCCTCGCAACTCGCAAACAAGCGAGCCTCTCGTACAGAGATGGGGCTCCTTGGAGCCTACCCAATGGTTTTTGAAAAGAAAAATTGCCAGCCACGTCCAAAAACCATCGCTTGGTTGCTGCAACGAACCGACCCCTCTGCCAAAAGTGGATCACTTTTTGGGGGGTTTAGTGGACAACCCAACTTGACTTCAACCAAAAAGTTAAAGTCTAAAGATCCAACCCAATAGCAGTCAAGATTGGGTGAGCTCCAAGGAGGATGAAGACTTTGCCACTTGAGAACTGCTCGTGTTGGAGCCAAACCCCGATATCAAATGGACCCAACCAACGTGCATTCGGGTCCAACCTGGGCCCCCAGGCTTCCCCCGCAGAACACCGGCTGTGGAGGATCGAATTGTTTTCCTCGGCGCTGGCTCAATTGGATGTCTTTAAGGAAGCAAATGGGAAACAACCACCTGGAACCGTGCCTAATTGTTGTACTCATTTAGCCTCAATATATGTCCTTCTTGTTGAGGCTCGGTACCCTTTTGGGGTTGGTTGAAGGGGAAACCCAAAGCAAAGGAAATCAACCATTTTGCGGGATCCCCAAGAAAAGGACCACATCACAGTGAGAGCTCGCCATGAAATGAGCAGAATCTGTAACCTTATCAAGGTCACCTTGAGGCATATCTTAGTGGTTTGTTAAGTCTCTCTCGCAATTCGTTCCCCTGGTTCCTTTTGCAAATCAAGCGCAAGGGTGTTTCATCGCTCTGGTGAAACCCCCATGGCTGTTTGATTGGCGTTCCCTTTGACACCCCAAAACGGTGGTTTACTTTTGGTGTTTCCTTTCAACCATGGTGAAAGGGTAGCCTAATAAACAAAAACACGACGATACAACTATATAGAGGCCCACCGAACTCTGCCGGCTCAGAAGTCAACCTCTTCGCTCCTCTCCGCCCAGCGGGCTTCCGCCAAATGCTCGCTTAATCCCGCTTAGGTTGGCTACACAAGTCCAACCGATTTGCCGTTTAAAGCGGGTAAAATCGCTCAAGTGATGGAGACCTTTGACGCTTTCTGAACATGAAACCCAGCAAATCTCGTGGCAGTTTCGCGACTGAGATTTCCTGATTTGAATGATTTGGGTAGGCTAATGGGTTGCTCAACCCCAGGCTTTGATCAACTCGTTTGAGTAGAAAGTCAAGAAGCTGGGTCCGGTGAAACATCCAACTTTTACTAGAGGAAACACTCGAAATGATGACTTTAAAAAGTCCACAGTTCAAAGGTCCAAACACAATTTACGAGCAAACCACCTCTGAGTCAGCAGGTTTGTTCGCTGACCCCTCCTGAGTGGATTGGATCAACAAAGCATAACCACACTCGCTGTTTGCCAGCAAAATGGTCACCCTAAAAGTGACGACAAAAATCAGGATCACTCAAGAAGTGAGGATTGGAAGTTGTTGTGGTTCAAGCAGCTGGTAGGATATTTGGATTTGATATCAGGGTCCAGTGTCCAACACTTGGTACGGTAGCGAACACACAATCCTTTTTGCAGCCCACGAACAATTAACAGAACCTGTAAAGCTGAAAAACGTGTCCACAACATTGAAGGGAGTAAAAGCTCACTTGTCCAATGGACCTGGTTTTTCTAAGGTTAACCGTTTGGAAGCTTCCAAGGGGACACCAAAATTTGCTGGTGCTCGGGAATGTGGGAATGAACCCAGGCTTTGGTCCCCTTACAGGAAACCAGCAGTTGGAAGGTTTATCTCAGAGTCCTCTCCTTTTCTGATTCCCTGCATCTCTCGCACCGATCTTGTTCAAAGCCGACCTTTTGACCGTTTCGTTTTCCCTTTTGGGTCTCTGTTTAGTCAAGGATCCAAAAGACTAACCTTTTATGTCAGGGTCCTTTGGGCTGCTGAGCTCATTCCCTGGCCGAGCACCCGCTTCGAGAGGCCCCGAACTTCGGTCCAGGGCGCTTGGTAGCCACGGGCAAGTCGCTGGAACTCGTCACCGTCGCGCTGTCCGTGGGGTAGCGTGGAGCAATGGCCTCGAGAGGCTGGGGCTGGGCCTGGCTGCCCTGGGCTCCTGATCTCTATCAATACCGTGGCGGGTTGTGAAATCCATTTCGCACCTAAGACACCCGGGAATGATGACCCCCCTGTAAATACCAACAAACAGTGGTTTCAACCATGGTTGTAAAGTGGTGCAGGATTTTAGCTGGAAGCGAATAGGTTTCAAGTACAGGATAGCGTTTTTTGGTGGATTGAGCCAACTTGCACGAGAATCGCACAGGGCGGTGCGATGAATTCTCGTGCAAGTTGGCTCATGCAAGCTTGGCTGCACGATCGGTTTTAGCAAATGGAACCAAGAGGAACCCACCCAATTTGGAGCCCAAGCAGGGTGGGGGTTCTTCCAGCAGCCCCCATGACCAGATCTTTGTTCACTACGGGGGGGATTTTGATTACCACGGCCTTCCGGGTAAATCTGAGGTTCAACCCCCACCAAAGAGGCCACTTGAGTGTCAAACACAAAGTTTGGACTAGTTGTTTGCAAATCCACTCAGGAGGTGAATCAAGGTTGACCCCGAATCGCACAGCCAAACTTGCACGAACGAACCAACTTGCACGAGAAAGCTCGCACAGCCAAACTTGCACGAGCCAACTAGCACGAGAAAGCTCGCAGGACACATGTGGACACAAGAGTAAGACTAAGACTGTGGACTTTTACATGTTCTGACGTGCGCGCGCGATCCTCTGCAGGGATTGGCGTGGTCAATGTGCAAAATTGAGGACTTGTCACGATTTGCGGTGCCTGCGCGACCCTCTGCGGGGATTGGCGTGGTCGATGCGAAAAAAACTGAGGGTGTTATGATTTCTGCGGGGCGCGCAACCCTCTGTGGGGATTGGCATGGTCGGTGTGCATAAACTGAGGACTTTTACGATTTCTGATTTGAACGCACAACATCGACCCTCTGTAGGGATTGGCGCGGTCGATCGCACGAAACGCTAGTAAAAGGCTACTTTTTCTAGTCGGAATGCGGGCTTGAAAGCTTGCCTCGTGGTTTGCGCGCCTGCTTGGCGTCCGCAGGTTCGAAGTTGGAAAGTCAGCAGCGCGAAAGTAACTCGCAATGTGCACTTGTAGTAGAAGGCGTCACCCTGACACGTGGTGGCGCCGGAGAAAAATACAGCGGCAGCTACATCAGCCACCGCCAAGCGGAGCTGGATGAGCCGCCGCCACCATCGCAGCATGCAGAAAAGGAGCAGCAGGGCAGCCACTCGGCCACCGCCACCGCGTAGCGTGTAGAACAGGTCCGGGTGTCCTGACAAGGTACCGCGGTCCTGTGCGTGCAGCGCGCAGAGCAGCTAAGTGCACTTGGTGCGCTGGTGCGCCTTAGTTCCAGTCAGTCTTGGTGAGGGCCAGAATCCGCTTCCTGATTTGAGCCATCTGAGTCAAAGCCGGGTGAATCCCGGAGCAATCCCATCCGAGTCTAGCCGCCAAAGGGGACCGGGGCTTATTGATCGTGCGTAAGCGGGCAAAAGCCTCACACCACCAAAGGCAGTGCTCGAGGCCGGGCACAGCGGCATTGCCGCAAAAAGGGCAGTTTTGCAAGATAGCACCGCCAATCTTGAAGTCGAGAGCGGGGGATTTGAACCCTCCAGTCATGACCCCGACCGCGTATGCATCGAGGCGTCCCGCACTTTTGTGCAAGAGATCAGCGAGCTGGGGTGTGATCCTGAGTCCTTGGCCGCGGGCCATCACGGCGTCGATCCGTAATGAACCGAGCCACTGCTTCATCTGGCTGCACCGCCAGTCCGTCCTGAGGTTGCGAAGACCCTTAGTCCTTGCCTCGGCAGGCGCCTCAAATCTGAAAGCGGAGCCACGCCAGGCAAGGCCTCGCGCAGAAGCAGTCCAAGGTCCAAGAGAGGCAGCAATCGCCTCAGCTTGAGAGCGGAGCCGGTCGCCCCATCGGACACGAGCCCCATCCAGCTGCCGTTGGTGTATCCACCGCATGACAGCCTGAAGGAGCCGGCTGAGCCCCATGAGCTCTGCATCACAGCAATGCCCAAAGGAGAGCACGCTCCTGAGGCCAGGGCCAGCACGCCCAGCGGAAAGCTTAGGCCCGCGGCAAGCCACGCGGAAGGCTCTTACGAGTCGCCCTTCGTCGGGGCTCTGCCCCCTAGGGCTGCCGCCCAGCCTAGCAGCCCGATCCGAGCGGCACGCCTGTCCCCCTCCTCCCAGCGAACCTCCTCAGAAATCGAGAGTCCGCGTTGGTGGCCGTTGGTCAAAGTTGCCCCGAGAGCTTCGAGGCTATCCTGAGGATCCCATCCAGCAACCTGAAGGATCCGCCTAGCCTGGCTTGTGCGAGCCCAGACCTGGGTTTTTGCTGTGTTGGTCCTTAGTCTGGTGCCACCTTGGGTCTTAAAGGACTGGAGGTCATCAGCTGTGCGATCATCGATGTATAGCGTACTGACTGCATTTGGAAGGGCCTGCCGGATTTCCTTAAAGGGGGCCGACAGGGCCAAGGGGCCCCAAGCGTCTCCCTGCAGGAGGGCTGGCGCCTGGCAGATCGGGCGGGGGTCAACCTGGCCTCCAAGGCAAGGGTGATCCACCTTTCATGGAGGGTCCACATCCCTATGAGCCCTCTGATGATCTTGGGTGCAATGCCGCATCTCTGGAGTAAGATGGAAGCCAGGTGGTGATCACACGAATCGAAGGCTTTGGAGAAGTGCAAAGTGATGCCGAAAGGATGCGTGCGTGCATTTGCCTCTTGGGTCAATGCGAGCAGCAGGGTCTCTGCATCATGCCCACGGAGACCGCCACTCTGCATCTCGCCTAAGACAGACCTGGGGAGGTGTTGAGTAGCCTCCTGAAACCTGACTGCAGCCCACGCGCGGTACACCAAACAACCAACAGAAATGGGCAGGGTATCCGTAATCCCATCAGGGGTAGAGTTTTTGGGGATGAAGCACACCCGCCATCCGCCAAGACCAGAGGGCCACCGACCGGTGGCTTCTACAGCCTCGAGGCACTGAGCGAGCCTCTGCCAAGCAGCGTTTGGGAGCTGAGTCAAAAGGCTGGCCTCCCACCCGTCAGGGCCCGGGGCCTTGCCACGCATGCTCCTGCCCGTGGCTTTGAGCGCCTCGGCGTGAAGGGGCACCTTCGGAGCCGTTTGGCGTTGGGGGTGCCATTGTCCATACCTTTGGAGGTAGGTCTGTGGGTTGGCCTGGTAATCTGGGGGTCCACAGAACACGGGTTCCCAGTCGTTGCGTAAGGCTCTAACTCCATTGCACCTACCAGAGACTATGTCCCCGGCTTGGGTCCTTAGTAGCCAGGCAGGCGGGGCACTCCGCTTAACCCAGTGGACCGCGTGCGAGTAGTCCTGCATCCGCTGCCTCCAGCCTTGGAGGCGTGCGTCAGTTTGGCGCTGAAGCATTTGCTGGAGCTGCTGCTCAAGTTTGCGGGTGGCAGGTTGCCACTGGAGCTGAGTGACCTCAGCGCAGATTCCCCATCTGCGTGCGCCACGACGCACCTTATTCAGGAGGGAGGGTTGGGGCGGGCGCCCGTGAAGCAATGTGCACTTTTGCAGCTCCGGCTCGGAAATTGCAACTTTCAAGTACGAAAGTGGTACGGGCAAGTGCACTTTCGCAGCTTCGGCTGGCAAATCGCAACTTTCAAGTACGAGGCATACAGAGCTGGAGGGCGGCAGTCTCTAGAAAGGACATGCGCCTATAGGAAAAGAAGCAAAACATTTTTAGCCGAGTTGGCTGCTGCAGCCGGGTTGGCAGGTGGAGCGTCCTTTGCTTTCTTTCTTTCTGTTTGTCCTTTCTTTCTTTCTCTCTTGTTGTTGTTACGTCCTTTCCTTTGTCTTTCCTTTCTTTCCTTCTTTCCTTTCTTGCTTTTCCTCTGTGTCTCTATCTTTCCTTCTCTCTTTCCTCTACTGCGCCTGCCACGAACTCTGCGCTTCACTTTGCAAAAGCGATGCTTCACGTCGCGCCTGCCACGAAAACTGGTTGCCAAGGTGCTGCGCCTGCCATGCGATTTGCACCTCTGAAACAGCCCGCGCGGCCGTGCAATTGAGGAACTTTCCGAGCCCGTTGCGAGACCCTGCGCAAAACAGGGCTTGCCTTCGCGTGTTTCGCATGTGGGATGTTGCGGAAGTTTTCTAGCTAAATTTCTTTTCATGAAAGCAGTGCGCGGAGTACACTCTCAGAAGGCTCCGGCTGGAAGATTGCAACGTTTATGCACAAAGTATTGCGCGAAGTACACTTTCAGAAGGCTTCGGCTGGCACGTCGCAACCTTTAACTACGAAAGTATTGCGCGAAGCACTTCCCAGGTCCGGATCGGCAATTGGGCTCAAATCGAAAGGTTGCCGTGCTTTGGCCAACGCTGCACGCACAAAAACTTGCTCAGAGAACTTGCTCACACAAACTTGTTCCGAGCTTGCGCAGTATACAGACTTGCGCAGAGCGCCTGCGCGTCGCAACTTGCGCAAGAAGAACTTGGGGCGAGCACTTGCACAAAGCAATACGTGGGCAGAGCTCGCAACACCGAAGCTTGTCAGTCGCAGAAGCTTTGGCAGTGTTTGCAGCGACTGTTGAGCAGCCGTTTACAGCATTTTTACCTGGAAGCTTAGCGCAGCGTTGTGGTTTGGTGGAAGTTCTTGCGTTGTGGCTTAAAAAGGTTCCTGAGGTTTGCAGGTTGACGACGTAGTGTTTGCTTAGAGCTTCTGCCCCTGGGGCTTGGTTTGTGTCCACGCTAGCACGCACGCACGCACGCACGTGCGAGCGACGGGCTATCACAATCTGCAGCTGCCACTTGCTCATGAAAAGGGAAGCAAACACACCATGAAATGAACACTCACTTTCCATTATGCTTTCGGGCCAGGTTCCGGCCGCGCCTCCGATATCTCCGCCCGCTCCGGAATCTCCAGCCGGCGCGGGCTCATCGGCGGAGGCGGCTGGTCCTAGCGAGGGAGGGATTGGATCTCTTGTTCAAGGCTTGGATCCACAAAAGCTTTGTTCTTCGGCTTGGATCAACTAAAGCTTTGTGATTCCAAAACCTGAAGTTAGGGATCAAACCCTGAAAGGAGGGGTCTTTGCGCAAGTCCAAACCCTGAAATGAGAACTGAAATTGCATTCCCTTGCGTTTCAATTGGTGTTTCAGTCCTTTTGCAAAATGCCAGACAACAAACAAAAACAACTCGAGCTTGCCAAAACCCAAAAAACAAACAAAGCTGGGGAACCCATGTCCCCCGTGCCTAGTCTGTCCAGACTCATGGGGTCTGCAGTCGTTTTGTTTGACACCCCAGAGTGGTTTCTGGAGTTGTTCGTTACTTCACATAGGGTCTGCAGAAAATGAATAGAAACTCAAGGAACACGTCGGGGTCCAAAATGGCCATGGGTTCATATACGGACCGATTCATACAATCAGGCTTTGGCCCAAATCTGAATAAACAAACTATCACATCAATAAAAATGTGTCAAGAATAAAGGCTTTTATTCCAAGGAGCAGGAATCGGACTGCTGGTCAGACTAGTTAGATGTGCGACCTTGCCTTGAAGAACCCATGTTGGTGGCACCACCCTGTTTGAGTACATGCAGGCCAGGCTCTGTTTGAGTATTAATTCGAACCTGGCCTAAGCCGGCTTGATTTGAAGTGCATTTCTTCAGATGCTGGTCCAAAATTTAGCATACCCTAACTAAAAACTCGCTTGCAAGCCCCAAATGTGGTCAAAACTGCGTCGCATGTTGTGCCAAAAAAAGCCCCAATGGAATCGAAAGGGCGCAATTCACCCCTCTGAGTTGAGGGAATATGGGTTTGGGATGATCAGTTCCCCTAATAATAACAGTGGTTCTTCCAAAACCCGCGGGGCCCAATACTGAAATAGAATGCCTTAATTTGAAACCAGGTCTGAATTCGCGATTTCTCCCACTGACCTCCCTTCCAGTCTTACAGCTGGCCTTCTTCCCGCCCTACCTTTTATGCATGAGACTGTCTGTGTCTGGCTTTCCAGGTGGCTCGGGTGGAAAGCACGACTTGGACGCCCCAAAACTGGAACTAGGGATCCCTAAGAATGAAACCTATCTCCCCAATCAACAAACTCAAGCCTCGTATCAGGTGCTTGAAACCTGTTGAGAGTATGTGTATTCTCAGATGCCACTGGGCCATGGGTTAAAAAAAAAGGACACCTTTTTTTGGTTGAGTTTAAAGGGGAACCCTCAACCAAAAAAAGAAAAAAGGGCACCACTGGGCAACAAAGCTGTGTGCTTTCTCCCTACGGTCCATCCCTTCCCACGAAAAGGAACATGTCTGGAAACGACCCATACCTCCCAGACCTGCCGTGAGATCGCCAAGGGCACCCGACCGGGGCATTCCAACCTCCAAGAAAAGGAGAAACACCCGGCTGGAGGTCTGTTCAGGCTTAGGCTGGAAAGGGAAATGCATGGACAAGGACACTCAGAAGAGCAGACCGGGCAGAAAGCGATTTTCCGGCAATGCTACGTGAATTTCAGGGAGCACCCGCAATGATCTTCGTGTTTAGCCCACTTTACGGTATAATCTGTGTGTGTAGGTGTGTGTAGGTGTGTGTAGGTGTGTGCAGGTGTGTGCAGGTGTGTGTAGGTGTGTGTGGGTGTGTAGGTGTGTGCAGGTGTGTGCAGGTAAGTGTAGGTGTGTGTAGGTGTGTGTAGGTGTGTGTAGGTGTGTGTAGGTGTGTGTAGGTGTGTGTGGGTGTGTGTAGGTGTGTGTAGGTGTGTGCAGGTGTGTGTAGGTGTGTGTAGGTGTGTGTAGGTGTGTGTAGGTGTGTGTAGGTGTGTGTAGGTGTGTGTAGGTGTGTGCAGGTGTGTGTAAGTGTGTGTAGGTGTGTGTAGGTGTGTGTAGGTGTGTGTAGGTGTGTGTAGGTGTGTGTGTAGGTGTGTGTAGGTGTGTGTGGGTGTGTGTTGGTGTGCGTTGGTGTGTGTAGGTGTGTGTAGGTGTGCGTAGGTGTGTGTAGGTGTGTGTAGGTGTGTGTAGGTGTGTAGCTGTGTGTAGGTGTGTGTAGGTGTGTGTGGGTGTGTGTGGGTGTGTGTAGGTGTGTGGGTGTGTGTGGGTGTGTGTGTGTGTGGGTGGGTGTGGGTGCGTGTGGGTGCGTGTAGGTGCGTGTAGGTGCGTGTAGGTGCGTGTAGGTGCGTGTAGGTGCGTGTAGGTGTGTGTAGGTGTGTGTAGGTGTGTGTAGGTGTGTGTAGGTGCGTAGGTGTGTGTAGGTGTGTGTAGGTGTGTGTAGGTGTGTGTGGGTGTGTGTGTAGCTGTGTGTGTAGCTGTGTGTAGCTGTGTGTAGGTGTGTGTGGGTGTGTGTGGGTGTCTGTGGGCGCGTGTAGGTGCGTGTAGGTGCGTGTAGGTGCTGTAGGTGCGTGTAGGTGCGTGTAGGTGTGTGTAGGTGTGTGTAGGTGTGTGTAGGTGTGTGTAGGTGTGTGTAGGTGTGTGTAGGTGTGTGTAGGTGTGTGTATGTGTGTAGGTGTGTGTAGGTGTGTAGGTGTGTGTAGGTGTGTGCAGGTGTGTGTAGGTGTGTGTAGGTGTGTGTAGGTGTGTGTGTGTGTGTGTAGGTGTGTGTGTGTGTGTAGGTGTGTGTGTGTGTAGGTGTGTGTGTGTGTGGTGTGTGTGTGTAGGTGTGTGTGTGTGTAGGTGTGTGTGTGTAGGTGTGTGTAGGTGTGTGTGTGTGTGTAGGTGTGTGTGTGTGTAGGTGTGTGTGTGTAGGTGCGTGTGTGTGTGTAGGTGTGTGTGTGTAGGTGCGTGTGTGTGTGTGTAGGTGTGTGTGTGTAGGTGTGTGTGTGTAGGTGTGTGTGTGTGTGTGGTGTGTGTGTAGGTGTGTGTGTGTGTAGGTGTGTGTGTGTGTGTAGGTGTGTGTAGGTGTGTGTGTGTGTAGGTGTGTGTGTGTGTAGGTGTGTGTGTGTGTAGGTGCGTGTGTGTTAGGTGTGTGTGTAGGTGCGTGTGTGTGTGTCTGTAGGTGTGTGTGTGTAGGTGTGTGTGTGTGTGTAGGTCTGTGTGTGTAGGTGTGTGTGTGTGTGGTGTGTGTGTATAGGTGTGTGTGTGTAGGTGTGTGTGTGTATAGGTGTGTGTGTGTGTGTGTGTGTGTGTGTGTGTGTGTGTGTGTGTGTGTGTGTGTGTGTGTGTGTGTGTGTGTGTGTGTGTGTGTGTGTGTGTGTGTGTGTGTGTGTGTGTGTGTGTGTGTGTGTGTGTGTGTGTGTGTGTGTGTGTGAACCGTCCTGGAACACGGACGTTAAGCAGGGGGACTGGAGCCGATTTGCCTATCCAGTCCAATGAAGCTACGGCATTTCGGTGGATACCGGATCTGATCAATCCGGCGTACCTGCCTATTTCATGACCCTCTTTCCTGATTCCTTTTGCGGTTTCTGTTTGTCGCTGTTGCTTCCTGTTCGGTGTCGATGTTGTGACCTGTTGATTTGCATTTGCATTCAAGCATTTTTACTGACTGCGTTTTCATCTCGGCTAGTGAAGCCTCTCGAGATAAGTGTGTTTACCCACGGCCTGTCCGACATGGCGCTGTGGGCTGGACTCGCCATATGCGGGAGCCCCCTGCGAGGGGAAGACCGTTCAAGTGTTCAAGTTCAAGCTGCAGTTCAGTTCAGCGCGTTTGACCACGATCAAGGCTGCAGCTTGAGGTCTTAAGGTATTCCGCACCCAAATGGTGCTCTGCTGGTTTCATGCGCGTTGCACTGCCTGCACTGCCTGCCTTTGAAGCAAGGCTGCACCCACGAGGTTTCAGGTTCCTAAGCTTCATGCGCCAGTGACGAGTTGGTCATACACCAACTCTGCAATTCGTGGCGTTTATGGAAGCTTTCGTCTCGGATGAGTTCAGTTCAGATTCATGAGTTCAGTTCAGATTCATCGGCATAGCCACATGAGGCACTTTCATGAGGCCACTTGACAGGCACCTCTGAGAACCCCTTTGTGCTCGCATGCATTTGCACCATTGACGCCTTGCGAAACCTTTTTCCGTTGCCGCGGGGTTTTTTGTCGGTCCCCCGGTGGAATTCCCTCGGTTTGGTTTTGTGCGCTCGGGTTTTTCGTCCTTGAAAATGTTTTGCTGTTGCCGGGGGTTTTTGGAGGTCCCCTGGTGGAATTCCCTCTGCTTGGTTTTGTGCGCCCGGTTTTTTGTCCTTGAAATTCTTTTGCTGTTGCCGCGGGGTTTTTGGCGGCCCCCTGGTGGAATTCCCTCTGTGTGGTTCGTGTCCGCCCCGCCGGGGCCTTGTGTGTGTGAACCGTCCTGGAACACGGACGTTAAGCAGGGGGACTGGAGCCGATTTGCCTATCCAGTCCAATGAAGCTACGGCATTTCGGTGGATACCGGATCTGATCAATCCGGCGTACCTGCCTATTTCATGACCCTCTTTCCTGATTCCTTTGCGGTTTCTGTTTGTCGCTGTTGCTTCCTGTTCGGTGTCGATGTTGTGACCTGTTGATTTGCATTTGCATTCGAGCATTTTTACTGACTGCGGTTTTCATCTCGGCTAGTGAAGCCTCTCGAGATAAGTGTGTAGGCGTGTTTGTGTGTGTAGGTGTGTGTGTGTGTAGGTGTGTGTGTGTGTAGGTGTGTGTGTGTGTAGGTGTGTGTGTGTAGGTCTGTGTGTGTAGGTGTGTGTGTGTAGGCCTGTGTGTGTGTAGGTGTGTGTGTATGTGTGTGTAGGTGTGTAGGTGTGTGTGTAGGTGTGTAGGTGTGTAGGTGTGTAGGTGTGTAGGTGTGTAGGTGTGTAGGTGTGTAGGTGTGTAGGTGTGTAGGTGTGTAGGTGTGTAGGTGTGTAGGTGTGTAGGTGTGTAGGTGTGTAGGTGTGTAGGTGTGTAGGTGTGTAGGTGTGTAGGTGTAGTGTGTAGTGTGTAGGTGTGTAGGTGTGTAGGTGTGTAGTGTGTAGTGTGTTGTGTGTAGGTGTGTAGTGTGTAGTGTGTGTGTGTAGTGTGTGTCTGTGTGTCTGTGTGTCTGTGTGTGTGTGTGAGTGAGTGGAGTGAGTGGAGTGAGTGAGTGAGAGTGAGTGAGTGAGTGAGTGAGTGAGTGAGTGAGTGAGTGAGAGTGAGTGAGTGAGTGAGTGTGTGAGTGAGTGAGTGAGTGAGTGAGTGATGTGTGTGTGTGTGTGTGTGTGTGTGTGTGTGTGTGTGTGTGTGTGTGTGTGTGTGTGTGTGTGTGTGTGTGTGTGTGTGTGTGTGTGTGTGTGTGTGTGTGTGTGTGTGTGTGTGTGTGTGTGTGTGTGTGTGTGTGTGTGTGTGTGTGTGTGTGTGTGTGTGTGTGTGTGTGTGTGTGTGTGTGTGTGTGTGTGTGTGTGTGTGTGTGTGTGTGTGTGTGTGTGTGTGTGTGTGTGTGTTTGTGTATGTCTTTTTGAGGCTACATTTTGGTGTGGTTTCAATTATTCAGGATTTTTAAAAATACTGATTTTGCAAATTTTGAGGTGCAAATGTTTTTTTTGCATAGTTTTCCCCCCCTATTTGGTAGGTTTTCTTTTGGTTTCTTAAGTTAAAACCCACCAAAACGGGGGGGTGCCTTCCTATCAAATCGCATCTTTCTGAGACCCGCGGCCGCGCCAGGCCCGCGCCCTGAGCCATCCTCCAGGTAATCCTCGCTGCCCCTGCTGCTCAAAAGGGGCGGCGACTGCTCCCCGCGCTGCGGCCTTGGAGCTTTTTGCGTTTTTTGCCACGGTTTCAGCTCTGAGGAGACGAAACAGCAGGGATCTTAAAGATATACACCTGAACATTGCCTTGTTCTTTTTAGGAGCCCTGAACAGAGTCCTTCAACCGGTGGTTTCCACAAGGATTCTCTCTCGTGCCATCGGAATCCGTCCCACTGGCGTGGGGGCACACTGGGCAGCCGGCAGCGAGACAGGGTTTGTGGATTGGGGAAGCCATTCTTGCCCAAGCAGGGGGAAGCAAGAAACCTCCATAAAGCTCCCAAGGCAGTCTCAGGAAACGCGGGGGGGGAGCGGTTGGGATCCTGTGTGGTTTCCAGCTGCGAGGCAAGAATCCTGTTCGCAAGTTTCGAACGCTGGGCACTGGAAGGTTTTCCTGCGCAGCTGGACGCCTTGGCTTCCCTCTCGCAGCCTTCAACTCACCTTCCGATCGACTGGCCAAAAGTCGGTCAACCTTTTGGAGTAAAACGGCTCAAAGCCAAGCCAAAAAGGGCCAAGAAAGTGAAACCCAAGTCCGAGTTCCGGAACTCAGGGAGTGGGGCAAGAGGACTCCAAAACAAAAACGGCCAAGGGGCAGAAGTTGCTCCACCAGGCCTTGGTGCTGCTGCAAGGCCCGCATCAGCTCCAACTGATGCGAAGTCGCACGTCGGGAGGCGACGAGGCTCCAACTTCTTCGTAGCAAAGCCCAAAAGCCCCAAGCGGCTGGGGGCATTCCCCAATTTGTTGCTTTCAGGGGCTTCCCCAATCCAGCGATGAGGGGAGCTGCGACGGGCGTCGGGCTACCAACCTCTCAGTCCTAGGTGGTTGGAAAGCTTTCGGTGTGGAATGTCCTGCTGGTTTCTTGGACACTTGGATCTTCGACCCGCTTCGCATCTGAGAGATTGCGAAAGAAGAAAGCGCCTTTCGGGGCTGGAAATAATCTAATCTGTTTAGACCAAATAAGGGAATTGGGTGCTACTGAACGCGTGCCCACTAGGTAAAGGGGTTGTAACGATCAAAACCCGTGTTGACATGACACAAATATATACACAAACAAAATAAATAAATAAATAAACAAATAAACAAAATACAAAAATACATACGTTAATATATATATATATATATAAATATATATGATTGTACTGTACGTAGGTTGCATTTGGTACCCCTATGGTAGGACGCCCCCCCCCCTCATATGGCTCTCCAGTTCAAATTCTAATGCAATCCCGTACAAGGCTTAGAGTCTTAGAGGGGCGTTTTTTCTTTGACGCCCAGCGTGGGGCCCTTGAGTTTGCATTTTCATCCTTCCCAGGCTGGCCCACCTGGAGCCCAAAACTGGGAACGTGGGAACCCAATTTTGAGCACCCACCTGACGCCTCTCTTCCCCCCCCCCACCCCCCCGCCTGGTGCAGATCTGCTAGAAGAATCCTGAGGTGATGTGGGGTTCCAAAAGGGAAGGCCCCAACAAGAAAGGGCAGCGTTCTTTCTTCCTCAGCGGCAGCTCACGTTCCGGAGACCAGCGCATGGAGTTTGTCTAAAAGGGTCCCCAGTCCTTTCCCTGTCTTCTTGGCCGATTCTTCTACCATTAGCCCAACAATGTCCCGCAACACCCAAGCCCAAAACGGTCAGCAGGTCACTTAGTGCAGCAAAAAATCCGTCACTTGGTGCAGTCAGAACCCAAGTGTGAAACAGGTCACTTAGTGCAGCAAAAAGCCCGTCACTTAGTGCAGTCAGAACCCAGGTGTTAAACCGGTCAGTTCAATAAAATCAACGGGCCCAACGCGCTCAATGGGCTCAACACGCCCAACGCGCTCAATGGGCCCAACGAACTCAACAGGCCCAAGCTCCCAACGGGCTCAACACGCCCAACGCGCTCAATGGGCCCAACGAACTCAACGGGCCCAACGCGCCCAACAGGCCAAACGGGCTCAACGGGCCCAACGGGCTCAACGGGCTCAACGGGCCCAACGGGCCCGGCGGTCCCAACGACCCCGACGAGCCCAACAAGCCCAACAGGCCCAATGGGCCCGACGGGCCCGACGAGCCCAACGGGCTCAGCGGGCCTACGTTGCGCTACATTACATTACATACATACACTACATACATAGCATTACCCACATAACATAACATAAAAAAAATGGCACAACACAACATAACATAACATAACATAACATAACATAACATAACATACACACATTTCAAACATGCATACATGCATACATAAATTACACATATTACATATATTAAACACAAACATACATACATACATACATACATACAAACATACATACATACATACATACACATATACGTACATAAATACATGCCATAACATTCATAACATTCATAACATTCATTACATACATACATACATCCATACATACATACATACATACATAAATATATTATATACATACATACATAACATACATACTTACGTACATAGCATACAAAACATACATAACATACATACAGGCATACATCACATTACACTACATTACGTCACATTACATTACATTACAAAACATACATAACACTACACACATAATAACAAAACATAACAAAACATAACATAACATAGCGCAGCGTAAAAAAGCGTAACATAACATAACATGCATATATACATGAGAGTTTACCCCATATTCATTGTTCCAAAAAAGTCTTCCGCCTCGCCCTTCCGCGAACCTTCCGCGAACTTCCGCGATGCAGGTAAAACCACACTTTTTGGCACGTGTCTAAACACATGTAAGTTCTTGTAAAGAAAAAGTAAAGCGAGCCAAGGCGAAGAGCCAGAGCAGGGGACATAACATAACATAACATACATACATACACGTACACACACACACATACATACATACATACATACACACATTAAATTACATACATACTCACATAACATACATACATACGTACATAGCATACATAACATACATACACACATACACGACGTTGCATTACATTACATTATGTTACATACATAACACTACACAGTACATACATACATAACATACATACATACATACATACACAAATACATGAATGCATGCATGCGTACAAACATACATACATACATACATACAGACAGACAGACATACATACATACATACACATATACGTACATACATGCATGCATACATACATACATACATACACAACGCAACACAACGCAACGCAACACAACACAACACAACACAACGCAACACAACATACATACATACGTACGTACGTACGTACGTACATGCACTACATACATACACTACATACATACATACATACATACATACATACATACATACATACATACATACATACATACATACATACATACATACATACATACATACATACAACATACATACTTACGTACATAGCATACATAACATACACAGCATACATACACGCATACATCACATTTTCATTACACAACATACATAACACTACACAAATAATGCGGTATAATAACATCACAAAACATAACATAGCACAGCATAAAAGAGCATACATAACGCAACACAAATATATTCGTGAGCCTTGTTCCAAAAACAGTCTTCCGCCTCGCCCTTCCGCGAACTTTCCGCGAGCCTTCCGCGAACCTTCCGCGATGCAGGTAAAACCACACTTTTTGGCACGTGTCTAAACACATGTAAGTTCTTGTAAAAAGTAAAGCGAGCCAAGACGAAGAGCCAGAGCAGAGGGGGCTCAGCGGTCCGAACGGGCAGGCCCAACGGGCCCAACGGGCTCAAGCCCAACGCAGGCCCCACGGGCCCAACAGGCACAGCGGGCTCAACGGTCCCAACGGGCCCAGCGGTCCCAACAGCCCCAACAGGCCCAACAAGCCCAGCCCAACAGGCCCGACGGGCTCAACGGGCCACACGGGCTCAACGGGCCCGTGAAAGTGACTGCCGCACTGAGCGACAGGATTTGCGCCGCACTAAGCGACAGGATTTGGACCGCACTGAGCGCCCGCCTGACCCCCAAAACCACTCTGGGTGGGCTTCAACAATACCAATGTCAACCCAACATTACCCAAAAAAACATATTTCAAAAACAAAAAGGCTTTCAGCAAGACCTTTTCGAGTGGTGTTCAACATCACTCAAGTCAAGGCCCTTTCAGGTCCCGTTCAAGCAAACAAAAACAAGCAAACAAAAAACAATAATAATAACAATAAAAAACACATAATATAAAAAAAAGAAGAAAAATACGAAAAGGCGAGACACCTAAACCAGTCAGCTACGGTCAGCCCCTTGCGCCCCTTGCTGCCGTGCTTCAACTCCCGCGTGAGCACTGCCAGGCTCTCCTCCCCGGCGCCTCAAAAAACGCGGACCCGGATGGAAGGGGGGCCAAGACGAAACCTAGCTGAGCGTGTTTCAAAACTTTTCGGACCCCCAAAGCTGGTGGTTGTCCTTGTATTCCCCCGCTAGGACCACCAAACAAAAGGTAGGCCTCAAGATGTTTTTCTGGTCGTGGGCGAACCCGAACCGCTGGGAAGGCTCGAACCTGTCACGGGGAGCAACAATTGCCTCCCGCATGGAACGTACGAGGGAGACCAACGGCCCAAAAGGAGCAGGGCTGACATATCCCGTGCATATCCCGTGCATATCTTCTTGAGGGAGTCCATTTCTTTCAGACATTAAAGGGGAAACACAGAGAACCCCGAGCGTCTTGCGGCTCCACATCCCATGACTCAAGCAAGCTGCTTGACCAACAAAAATGAATGGCCAAACAAACAAACAAACAAACAAACAAACAAAACGCACGGGATCTCCATGGCGCCAGGTGCAAACTAACTCCCCTGCCTACATGGCACCTTGTTATATAGTTATTTCTTTATCTATCATCCTTATGTTGTTCTTTATTGTTTCTCCAGTTCTGTCTTTATTCAATCACATATGTGTTTTTCTGCATGTCGCCATTTATTTCTGTATTCTGTCCTTTCGGTGTGTATTTTGTCCGTTGTTTGTCTGTTTATGTGTTTGTTTCCGTTGCCCTTTCTTGGTGTCGTTCTTGCTCATTCTCTACTTAGTCAGTTGGTCAGTAAATTGGGTTGTTAGTCAGTCAGCCAGTTGGTCGGTCGGTCGGTCGGTCGGTCAGTCAGGCACTCAGTCAGTTAGATGTCTCTGTCTGTCGGTCTTCCATTCCTCTTTGAGTCCTTCGTTGCTTACGCCAGTATGTTTGTACTTAATAACTTATTGGTATCTTATTGTGCTATCCATTTGATTGATCCGTCTGTCATGTATTTTGTTGTGTCTTGCTTCTGGCTGTTGTGCTTCTCTTTATCGCGCGCGAAAATTAAATGTCTATATCTATTTTGTGCTACGTTTATTTCTTTATTACCTTCCTTCTTCCTTGATTCCTTCCTTCTCCACTTATTTCTCTTGCCGGGTCTGGCAACTCTATTTCCCTGATTCATGTCTTTCTATTTGTCCTTCTCTGATGAACCGTTGCCAGGGCTCCTGTCCCAGGATCCCGGGTACTTCAGCTTTTTGTCAGGTTCTCCTCAGACTAGTTTGTGTGTGTGTGTGTGCGCGTGTTGTTGTTTTTGTTGTTGTATGGGGGGGGGGTAGACTAAGTATGACGTGTTTCTTTGCCTCGGTTGTTACATTGTTCTTTTTGCTCTTGTCTCCGCTGCTTTGCTTCTGGCGGTCACAAGCTTCCGCGCCCATGAACCCACAGCAGTCCCCATCGGCCTGTGTCCTGCAGGTTCCGCGGCAGCCCGGACATGGCCACAAGAGGCGAGAGGTCAACTGTTGTCCAGTGGTGCTCCAAACAAAACACCTGGGGGTTGATCATTTTAGTCCCTGGCGGTGGAATATAAACATGTTTCATGGGGTGATACCATAAAGTTGGATTCCCATCCAGATAAGCTTGCCATTTCTTGACGGCGATCCGCTCGGTATCTCATTTCATGGCGTCTAATTGAAGGGAAGCATACTCTTGTCCAGAAAAACTGCGGTCCAAGAAATGTTGTGGATATGACCGGTTCAACATGATTCCATGTGATTCCTTGACTGTTATTGCTCAAGCCCATCAATTCCCCTCTTCAAAAGCCGGCTCGCATTTTCGGTCTGCGTTCTGAAAAGGTGTCTGCAATTGGATGTTCTTGAGCTCCAGCGAGCCCTTTGCGCAGCGCAGGTCAACCATTGGCGTTGCGAGTTCTCCCCATATTCCCGAGATGGGATGTGCAGATTCACCGCGAAAACCGAACTAAATAAGTCCAAGAGGTGCAGAAAAATCTGCCCTTGGGAAGGACCTCGGCTTTCGGTTTTTGTTGTTTCCTTCTTGGGGGGGGGGGATGGTTTGCGATCCGGGAGGCCTGGCTGAGCTGCAAGGAGCACAGCAGTACAGAAGGGCTATGCCATGGTGAGTCTTCCAGCTTTCGAACAAAAAACCATGATATAATAACAATAATGAAAATAAATGATAGTGATAAAGCTACGGAAACAACGGATGATAATAGTAACTCTGACAATGGTAATGCTAAAATCCACGCCTGATTGCAATGAAAGGGTGTCCCTCGTGTTCAGGGGAATCCGGCCCACTGGAACACCCCCATAATATGCCAGCTTGACTCACCCGCGGAACAGTCAACAACAACCAGCCACTCACCCAAGGAGTGAAATACACCTCCCACAAACGTCCCGGATTTATCAACCTGGAATGTTTGCCAGTCCTGATTCCCTCCAAGAGGCTCGATCTCTGGCCCTCCATCCCAAAGAAGGTAATCCGCCAGGACATGATCTATGGAGGGTTCTGACTACGGACCTCCAGATTGTGAAGTGAACCTTCTTGTTGAAGGTATGTGTCCCAAAAAATCCATTTCTTGGTAGCTACCTAGGCGTACCTCTTACCCCCCCCCGCCAGCCCACAGCGATCCGGAGCGACCCATTTCACCTGCTCTGGGCTCCCGCGTTGTGGGGCCGAAACTCTACTCATTTTGGTTGAATGACGCCCGCCAAAGAGTCGGGGTCCGGAAAAGAAACACTACAAGGTAGGCGTAGATAAGAAGAAGCCGAGAAGCCAAGAAAACAACGTAAAGGAGAAAAGCCATAAAAACTGGGAAAGCCTGTCTTTCGCTCGCTGGCAATGTCGCAGAAGGTCTCCAACCTGAAAAAGCAATGTGCCATATTGATCAAGTGAATGACCGTTTTACAAATGCTCCGTGGGAAGTCTTGCGCCATAGGGCAAATGAACCCCGGCCGAAGCGCCACAGGGCTCGGAGGTCCGAGTGGCGACGCGAGTGTCCCGAAGGCTGGAAGCGAACTTTGTTTAGCCAGCTAGGTCCTCCAGTAGAGAGGTTAGAATAAGGGTACCAACTTGCTTTTTCTGTGGTCTATTTTAGTAGGGGTTTGCCCTCCCAACCAAAATTAGAAACGGTAAAAGGGCACTGGGGGACCTAGCCAAGCGCCATTTTTGGAACTAAGGGCCTGAAACCCAATACCATCTTCCAGGACGCTTGCCAAAGGGTTCCATTTTCAAGAAATGGAACCTAGGACTCTTATCCCGGAATTCGCCGGTATTGGAAAGAATTGGCTCTCGCCGGCAAGGCAACCGGTCGGTCAGACCATGGCTTCTTGCGCGCCAGCGAAATGATTTCGCTCCATAGGTATGGCCGTTCTTGAGGGTAGCCTTATTCTGTTGCTGGGATTTTTACTGGGAAACCGACCAAATCACCGAAGACTCTCAAATTTTGGTCGAGCCCTCAAACAACGAGCCAGCCACATTGGCTCAGCCGCAAGGCCTCCGGCGCAGCTCGGGCTCAACGAAGCCGGAGCCGGAGCTCTGCTTCGCAGGCCGCCATCCGTCAGCCGAAGACGTAGCGCCCAGAGAGCGTCATCCCCATGGTCGGCATGAGCCTCAGGATCCGACGTTTTGTCAAGGCCATGAATTCTGGAAACCGCTTGGTTGCTGCAACGACCCCTCTGCAAAAAGTGGATCGCTTTTTGGGGGTTTAGTGGAAAACCCGACTTGACTTCAACCAAAAAGTTAAAGTCTAAAGATCCAACCCAATAGCGGTCAAGACAGAAGGCCAGGTTTTCCCAGAAGAAAGCGGGTTGCGCCGGAAAAAGTGAGGGACATGCTCCAAATGCTTGGCACCCCAAGACGGCACAAGCCGGGAAAGCAAAAAAGGAACCGCCCGGTTCCCGCCGCTGCTTTGCCCCTCGGGGTTTGCAAAACCAACGCCTCTGGAGCGTACCGGGCCGCAAGGGCTTGTGGATCCTTCCAAACATCCTCCGTTCCCTGATAGGGTCAAAACACAAAACAACTTGGGGGTTTGCCAATGTCGACCTTTGATTTATAAACCCCCCAGTTGACAATCCGGCGATTGTTGATGCATTTTGATTAAGAAGTCTCACAGAGCCTCTGCCAGCTGATTGGTTGAAGTCAAAGGCGTTTCCCCCATGAAAGAATGAGCGTTCCTTTTGTTCAGGCCCAGCGAGGAGGATTTGAAGGAGGAAAACCAGCCTGGGGGTTCCCAATTTAACAACACCAAATGGCAATGCAATTGCAAATAGCCAAAATTGGCGTGTTCAACGGAGGTTTGTTCGAGAAAAAAAGGAAGAAACAAAAACGGATTTCTCAAAGTCATTTGCAAGGTGCTCAAAAAGTCTCCGGACCCCTAACGTCCCAGGAATCGGCCGTGGCTGGAATACCAGTTGCCTTTCTTTTCTCTGCCGCTCAACCAAGCCCTCTTGCCTTGCTTTTTTCGTTGAGGTTTACGGTAGCTTGGAATCCACAAGAACCAGAGGCTCAAACCCACACTAATCCAAACCACCAATGAAGGGTAGCCTCAAATCCAGCATAGTTTGGGCGGGCATACGTGAAACCGCAGTGGTTCATTGCCGGCTGCTTAATGCAAGGAACCCTTCCCCGAAATCCCCACCCGCCCCCTTTGACCAAGACCCATTGCCAGCAACGGGCAAAAAGGGGACGGGAGCCTGTCACGCGGGTATGTCAACAGGATTCCAGTGGGATACTTCCAAGAACCACATCCTTTACAGGGAGAATCCTATCAGTCGATTTTTTGTGATTGTCTTCCTCGAGTGTATCCTTCAAGGGACCCTGCAAAATGACGAATTAAAAGGGGCGAAATCCACCTCGCTGCGGCCAAAGTGCGCCAGCTCATCCTCGATGTTGCGCCGGTACTTGTTCTTCCTTAGGTGCGCGGAGCGAGCCTCGCTTGGGGGTTCCTTAGGCCTCATGGCTTTTTCGGGGTGGGCTGGGGCCTTGGGATTGGAGACTAGGCAGACTTGGGTAGCCTTGAGCTTGGACTGGACCCACTTCCTGGCTGTGGCCCAAGTCCAATCTTTTTGCTAGACCTTCGGCCCGAGGCTTCATTTTCATGCCCCTTCAGTCAGCTGAGCGTTTCCACAGTATAAAGCCTTTTGTTTCTACCTGACGTTCGAACAATTGTACATCTGCCCAGTACAGATTTGATTTGGCGTCTCCACTTGACTTTGATAGAGCTGTCAGCTCCTTGTGGAGTTGGAGCTTGCAACCATCGTTTTGGGATCCGTCCCCAGCCACCGCTGAGTCGCCCCTGCAAATAGCGCAGTGTCTCGCGGAGTGAACTTACCCACTAGCGCTACAGAGAGAGACAGGCGCATCAAAATGCACGGCGCCCGGACCAAGCGCAATCCGTAACGATTGTTCGGGGCTAAAGTACGGAAAGCTAGCACGGCGTCTATACGAAATGTGTTTTTTGTTGGGTCGCACTGGAGTGCGGCTATTGAAAGCGCTTGTTGAGCTCAAAAAACACAAAACAACATAGGGTTTTTGGTGGGTCGTCTTGCGAAATGCTTGCAACACGTTCGGTGTCCGACCGGCGGGAACTTTTTGCTTCCTAGCTCTCTGTGTTTAATCATCCCTCTCCCGATATCCATGGCCATGTTTTGGAAGACAGCCCAAGTACGCACTGCCTCCCCCCCATGTATGTACGTATGTATGTATGTATGTATGCGTAATGTAATGTAATGCAATGCAACGTAACGTAACGTAACGTAATGTATGCCCCCACCCCCCGGCGGATCTCACGTCATGGGCTTCAGCCCGAGCTGCGATTTGCCGGTGGCAATGATGCCCGCCTTCTCTAGGGAGGTGGTGAGCTCCCTGCCAGGTGGCAGCTCGGGGAGAGTTTTTCCCCGCTCCCATTTGACAGTGTACCACTGTTGAACATCAAAATAGGTGGCAAATGGATGTTCATCCACCCCAAAATGGAGCCATAGGTTCTGCCCCATGGCCATTTGACAGTGGCGCAAAAAAAAGGTACCCAAAATGGCTGCTCGGTAAATGGAGACAAGGACGAAAACCCGCAGAACCCTGGGTCTTGAATTATCAACCACGCCCAGTTAGGTTTTCCCGTCGAAAGATGAAAAAAAAAACACTTGAGAAGAATACCTCGTGAGTTCCACTCGAAAACCACAAACATATGGCGCCCTTCAGGCAAATCATAAAGGGAAACCTGTCCAAGAAAAAGGAAAACTGGTTTGGGGGAGACACGGGTGATGCGGATTCCGAATGGGGAACAAAGCCCCAAGTCCAAACACGCTGAATGTTCCCTGATCCCATACGCCTTTCCCAAAAACAGAGAAACATGGAAGTGCTCGAATCCAAATCACTGCTCACAGGGTTTTATCTATACCAGTGCAGGATTTTGTCGACAGAATCAATTGAATTCCAGGGTCACTCCCTCCCCAATTCCATGTCAAGGATATCCACTTGTGCAACCCAGGTCGACGGAATTTCCGGCACCCTGCCAGAGTCAGAGAGCTATGTGTGTGTGTGTGTTTTTTGGGGGAACCAGCTACCCCCCCCGGCTTGGCTTGGCCCTTGGCTTCGCTTTCTTGGAGGGGCCAAGGGCCTGCGATTCAAAAGGATCCGCCCGGGCAGGCACTCGCAACTAGAGCTTTCCGCGGTCGAAGCAAGCTGATCTTTGGACTTGTTGGCTTTTTGGGTTGCAACATGTGGATTTTCTGAATTGGACCCACCAAAAGTGAAGAACTCTTTGCAGAGGGGTTGCAGAAGAACCCCAGGCTCTCTCTTCTGGCCGGCTGCTTTGCCCGACGCAACAAAGGCTCCCGAAATGAAGAGGCTGCTTCCTGAGGTGATTTGGCCAAAGTCCCAGCTGTTTTGGTCTTAGAATGGTCTAAGGCCAAGAAGTCAAGTCCAGCAACTCAGTGAGCCGAAAGATCCAAATAGCGACCCAGATGTTTTTTTATTGCTGTTCCCCAATTGTTCCTCAATAACGGCGTGAGTCATCTCCATTTCCTGGTGACAAGTTGAACATTTCGTTTACCCCATTCCCTTGACAGTCTTTTGACGCCAATTTAAAGTGGGAAGATCTGAGCCTATAAGGAGAGGCCTGCGATAATCGCAAGCCTTTTGGCTTGCCTTATGTAGAGGCTATGCGGGTGTTTCTCGATTTTTTTTGGCTGCTTGCAAACAAAGGGAAGAACAATGAAGACCGTGTGGCTAACAAAGCCGGGAAGCGCCGGCTAAGTTGCGAATGACCCTATGAACCACAAGGGACGATCCGTGAAATTCCAGCAATCCCCCCACTGAGAAGCAGCAATCCGCTTTCTAAAGGGACATTGAGGTGTCAGTTTTCAAGCCAGTTTAGGAAACAATTGAAGGGGCAATACCCAGAAAGGCTCAAAAGACCGTTTCTGGGAACCCTTCCAAGGCAAAAACTTTTCCTGAGTGGGCTTCTGGGAAGACCCAACCTTTCCCACGAACCCAAAGAGGTGCTTTTCAAGCAGGGCTCCCCAGCAAATCGTTGGTGTCCTCCTGGTTTCCCTCAAAACGACAAAACGGGGGTCCAAAATCCATGCGACCCTCTTGAAACAAAGCCCCCAAACCGCCGAGGCCCCGCGCAGCACGCTGTCCCCAAGCTTCTTGATGTCGTTGGTCAGCAAGATCCTGAGCTCAGGTGCCGTTAAAGATGGCTACGAAAGCTTTGATGGAGTGCCCCATGAGAAAGATCCGGATCCCATCTGTCGTGGTGGACCTCCTCATGGCCGCGGGAAATGGCCGAAAATGTGGGCCATCCTTATGACGACGTGACTTGGGTGTGGCTCAAAAAGCCGGAGCCAAAATGGAACCAAAATGGAACCTTGGTAAGTGGAAACATGGACCAAACCCCGCGTAACCCCTCCTGTATAGTTTTGAGCCACAGCCACTTGTAGATTCGAATCCTTGGCCTCTCAAGTTGTCCAAGCCTCCAATTGTTCACAGCTCTGCTACACGCCAATGGCTCGCAAGCAGCACCGATTGGGCAAAGCAAGCGCAATTCAGCCCTGAGTCCCGGGTCTATGATTTTGTTGGGATGATTTGAAAACAGCACAAGTTTCAATCAATAATGGTCTCCCCCTGCGTGTCCTCTTTCAGCCACCCCAAAAAGGTGCCGGCTTAAACACCCGGGCTGCTTGAAAGGACAGAGAAGCCAAACAAACGACAAGGCTTAAAAGCTACACACACACACACACAACGCAGATTCACCCGGACCTCTCGTAAGCCTCATGCTTAAAATTGGGACCCCCTTTGGGGGTTTCATGTCAATCTGCAGCGGTTGGCTGCAAGGGAAACAAAGCCCTTCTTGTAATCATCACAGGGGAACAGAACGGTTTAAAAACACCCCACCAGTGCTCTTGGTTTAAAGCACCCCAAGATTCAAATACTTTTGGCCCTTCTTCCAAGCGCAAAGTTTGGGCAAGACATTTTCGCCGAGCGTCTGATCAATGGCCCGTGCCGGGCCCTTACACCGCAGAATGCCCTCGATGAAATCGTCGCATGAGATCACGCCATCGCCTCGACCGGTCCGAAAAGGGGCCGGAGATGGCCCAGAGCAGATGGGGACGGGACAGTTGCCTGATCCCATTTTTTTACGTTTCTTCCCCGCAAAAGAAAACATAACAATAGGAATCACTTTCTTGAGTGGACCCCAAACAACCCCTGCCCCACTGACCGCATTCTGTATTCAACCCAACCCCACTCCAACACCCCGCTCGACTCAGGCGCCGTTCTGGAGCAGGTGGAACAGGGCGGTGCTCTCCTGCACGTCGATCTCCAGACTCTCCAAGTAGACTTGCACCCGGGGATCCCGCATCAGCTCCGTCCTAAGCGGAAAACATCGCAGAAAGCCAATTCAAGTGGCTTGCTGGTTGGGATCCCTTGCAAAAACATCTTCAGTTCCACCGCGGGCTGGACATTTGGCCCGAGCGTCAGCTCCTCCTCGGACAAAACCCCGTCCCCGCTCTCGTCGCAGGCTTGGAAGATGCCTGCAGGGCCCGAAACACGGCCGGGTATGTGTGTGTGTGTGGGTGTGTGTGTGTGTGTACGTGTATGTTGTCTCTTTTTCAGGTACCTTGCTTGGCTTAAAGGGACACCCAAGGAAGAGCAGACCATCCATTGTGTGGGTCCCCCTGTTTTCAGACAATCCCACATGGGTCCTTTATGATGATGACTGAATGTGCATCTGCATTGCACAGGCCCACAGCTTCCGATTACTTAGGCGCCTATAGTGGGCCTTGGTAAACCGACCATGTTCGACCTTGATCGACTTTGAAATACGGGCAGCCCTCAATCCACCAAGCAAGAAGGGAAAAGGGTGCCACTGGGGAAGTGGTCTCCCACAACTGGGTGGTAGATGGGAAGTCTGGAAAATCGCAAAAGATGTCAATCCCTTTTTGGTTTCCTTCGGCACCCTTTAAGGGAAAAGGACCAAGCCAGCATTCGCCACCTGAACAACAACAAACAAACCAGACCAACACACCTACTGACCGACCAAACCCAAACCCAAACCCAAACCCAAACCCAGCCCAAACCCACCCCAACCAACCAACAAACACACCACACTACACCAACCCCAACCCAACCAACAAACACACCACACTACACCAACAAACCAAACAAAGCCAAGCCAAAAAACATCGTCTCCATCCCTTGGATCCAAACTCGGCAGGCCTTCGAGCTTGTGGACGTAGGTGGTCTTCTTCCGCAGGCGCTCCTGCCCCGATCCCAATGGCCGCTCGATGAACATTTAACAAACCCCTGGGGTGACTGGGGGAGGGGGGCTCCTTTGCTGAGGGAGCCCTTTTTGGGGGTGATTGGGGGAGGGGGGGCTGATGTTTGTCATTCGTACAGGGAGGGAGCAGGACGGTGGTGGTGGTGGTTGTTTTGCCATGGCGTAGGCGCGCGCCGTTCGGGCACCCGACGGTGTCTTTGCCCGCGCGCCATGGGGATGGCTCCGGAGGGCGGAAATTTCATGCGCCATGCAATCGTATAAAGGGCTGCCTGTTCCAAGGTAACACCCGCAGGAGCACTTGCCCCGCCTTGAGCTCATTTCAGCAGAATCATCACGGGAAACATGCTCTTTCGTTTTGTTTTCGGGTTCCTGGGCTGGCCCAGGAGTTGTTCCTGAGAATTCGGGCAAAGATACACGCCGTACGGGAACGGCCGCCGCCACAGCCGACAAACGCGTCAGTTTGCAAGAAACGCCGTTGGCCCCTAGCTGATCCAAAAAAACGCCACCACATCCCCAACCGCTTCGAGTTCTGCCGCTGGACGGCAAAAGGCACTCTTCCCAGTCTCAGGCCTTGCGATACGGACTTTGAGCGCTGCCCAGTGCAGCTTGGATGCGGCATCCCCGCACTCAAAGTCCTTAGAGCCTTGTTAGGCGGAGTTTTCCATTTATCAGGGTCAATCGGGGCCTCGGAATCCCGCTACCCCTCCCCAAACTTTTTGGACAACTAAAAACTATGGTTTCTACTTTAAAACAAGATGAGTAGTTGGTTTAACCCTCGCTCCTGCACCATCATCTCCGCGTCATTGTTGGCCGCTTCCAACGTCTCGCGGAGGAAGATCGCGCTGATGACACGGATCACCTGGAATCAGCAGCGCTCGGGAAGTGGCTTCAAGCAATTCCACAAAGCAAGCGCCCATTGGCATCGCAAGCGGGGCCAGTCACCAATGCCAAACAAACTACGAAGCACCTGGCAACTTGATGGCTTCACTGGCATCGCTGAGGTGTCCAAAGCTGGACTCTTAAACCTTGTCATTTCCCACTGTTGGTAATTGTGCCCAGGCAAGCACAAGCAGTTGGGGCTCGAAAAAGCAATTCCCCGACTGTATACTACAAAGACGCAAGTTCAGCCAAGGCGTGTAAGCCTTTTCTGTCCTAGTCAGGGCAACACACCTTTCGCGCAGCTAGAGATTCCACGGCGCTGGCTGGGCCGTGCGGTCGAGAAGAGTCCCACCAGAAAATGCCGCGGGTGTGCCCGTTTCTTGGGGCGTCCAGGCTTGTGGCCGATATGGGCAAACCCAGAAACCATGTGCGACCCGATGCAAACGCCTTCCTTGAGGGAAAGCGAAGACTTCGCGACTAGAATCCAACACACCAAAAGACCACAAGCACTTTCGGGGTCGAAAAATGGGTCCCATAGTTAGGCTGGCTTGGGACGCCAGTGCCCCAAACTTACATTTTGGCTTGAACTAGCCGACTGTCGATATCGGATGAGTGGAACCCCGAGAGTGAAGGATCTCCTCTTGGATAGGGCGCGCCCGATATACCAACCAAGTGGTTTTTGATCCTGATTTCCAACTGCACGCAGCTCTCTCCACAGCTTCTCGAAGCCGGGCATACGGTTTATGCAGCCAAGCAACTGCAAATACCACGAAAGTGATGTACAGGAAATAGAACACCACATACCCGTGCCCGGCATTTTCCAACACCTTGGCCATGATTCACCGGCATGTGGAATTCGCATGGAAGGGCGGAGGGCATAGTGAAACCGTCACATCACATCTGCTGTCATGTCTGGTTCAACTGTTCTAAGCAGCCTCATGCGAGCTACTCTGCGCACACAACACACCAAAGAGCCCCCCCGTGTCGCGGAATCGCGCTCGTACGCGACCCACTTTTGAGCTGACGCGGCAGTCAGCAAGCAAGTCAAGCTTACGCGTTGCTTACGCATCCGCGTTATGAGCTTTTCCGCTCAGGAATCGCTTTCGCGGACTTTTTGATCGTTCAAGATCATAAACGTGGATGACCCCGGGAAGAAATTGATGAAGAGCTTCTCTCAGACGGATGAGCTTGGCGCTGTTGTTCTTTTCGGGGTCTTCGCTTTGCAGCCCTCCTCAGCGCTTTAGATGTGGCCGACAACTTCGCCCCCGCAATTCCTCTATCTCTACTGCAGACACAAAGGAACAGCTCTTCTGCGCAACGTGGCGTGGGCTGCCGTGCGAAGCGTGCGCAAACCTAACGCCTGCTCGTGCCGGCTTCAGCATTAGGGCTGCTGGTGGCAACCCGTGTGTTCTGGAAGTCCAAGAGCCTAGCCCAGAGCTTTCCCGGGCGCTGCGCAGGATGGTCCCCCCAAAAAACGCCTACGGTGGCTTACGCCCACGACGCAATTCTTGCTTAGCATGTAAGGCTGGGGTGGTAGAGCTGCTCATGAGCTGCTGATTGTGTACATTACCAAAACAGCTAGACCACGGTTGGCCCGAAAGCATTACAGCCCCGTGACCATTCTGCGCAAGTTGCTCCGGGCAAGGTGCTTTGCGCAAACAGGTCTGCGCAAGTTGCTCTGCACAAGTTGCTCTGCGCAAGTTGCTCTGTGCAAGTTGCTCTGTGCAAGTTGCTCCGTGCAAGTTGCTCCGTGCAAGTTGCTCCCTGCAAGTTGCTCTGTGCACGCTGCTCTGTGCAAGTTGCTCTGTGCAAGTTGCTCTGCGCAAGTTGCTTTGCGCAAGTTGCTTTGTGCAAGCTGCTCTGTGCAAAACGCTCTGTGCAACTGACTCTTTGCAAATGTCTCTGTACAAGTTGCTCTGTGCAAGTTATTCTGTGCAAGTTGCTCTGCGCAAGTTGCTCTGTCAAAGTTGCTCTGCGCAAATTGCTCTGCGCAAGCTGCTCTGTGCAAGTTGCTCTGTGCAAGTTGCTCTGCGGAAGTTGCTTTGGGCAAGTTGCTCTGTGCAAGAAGCTCTGTGCAACTGACTCTGGGCAATTGTCTCTGTACAAGTTGCTCTGTGCAAGTTGTTCTGTGCGAGTTGCTCTGCGCAAGTTGCTCTGCGCAAGCTGCTCTGTGCAAGTTGCTCTGTGCAAGTTGCTCTGCGTAAGTTGCTCTGCGCAAGTTGCTCTGCGCAAGTTGCTCTGGGCAAGGTGCTTTGCGCAAACTGGTCTGCGCAAGTTGCTCTGCGCAAGTTGCTCTGCGCAAAGTGGTCTGTGCAACTTGCTCTGCGCAAGTTGCTCTATGCAAGTTGCCCCGTGCAGCTTGCGAAGTCCGCCCGCGGACCAGGGGGGAATCGAACCCACGACCCGCTCCCGAGGACCAGTTCGTAACAAAAAACGTCGCACAAACCTCGAGTTTTTGCACCTCGACCACGCCGATCCCCGCAGAGGGTCGCGCGAGCCAAAACAAAATCGCAAAACACCTCGAGTTTTAGGGTCGCGCGAGCCAAAACAAAATCGCAAGAAACCTCGAGTTTTTGCACCTCGACCGCAAAGGGTCGATTTTCGTTCAGTGTCGTCGGCACTACCCCACCACCCTAAGGAGAGATTTGAACTCCTCGCAAGACAATTGCGCTTGACTCCTTGCACTTGCAACTTGCACTTAACTCCGTGCACTTGCAACTTGCACTTGACTCCTTGCACTTGCAGCTTGCACTTGGCTCCTTGCACTTGCAACTTGTACTTAACTGCGTGCACTTGCAACTTGCACTTGACTCCACGCACTTGCAACTTGCAATGACTCTCATGACTCCTTGCAATTCTCCTTGCAATGACTCCTTGCAATGACTCCTTGCAATGACACCTTGCAATGACTTTCATAATGATGATTCCTTGCAATGACTCCTTGCAATGACTCTCATGAGAACAACTCAAGTGAACCCAGCGGAAGAACCCTTCGCCATGCTTTCGGGAAAAATACAAAGAACATCCGTGTTGTGGGCCGCGCACCCCGACTGGAACAGGATAAACAAGAAAAAACCTGTTTGTCACGTCCTGCCCTATGCAAGCTTTTAGGAGCGAATTCCACCCTTGCAATTGCACGGTCTTGAGTCTTGAGGAACGGGGATGGTGACAAAAAACAGTACCTGCCCAGCGGTCCCGGCGCTGCTCATTGGACACGCTACGTGTCCGCTGTGGGCAAAGGAGTAAAAGCAAACTGACCCTCACCTCCAACACTGCTTTTCAAGTATGCTTGTTCCCATCCAACACTCAACCAATCGATTCCTGGCCAACCAGTCCTGCCTTTCGAAGGAGGATACAAATTTAGGCCGTTGGCCGTATTTTAAACAAATCCCTCCCCCCCATGCGAACATTTCCTATGGGAGGGGGGATGCCTGAATACGTTGGAAACATCCTGTTGCCCTTGGGGCCAGCAAACATGTTTGGGACAGAACAAACATGTTTGTCCCAAACATGTTTGGAAAGGAAGGGTGCCGCGACATGCGTCTCTTGACAGCCTCGCTTCAAGAATGCCAAGGCGCAGGTCTGGCATACACTGGCCAGTTACCGGCGAAGGTCATTTCAAACCTGCGAGAGTTGGGTGGGCCGCCGGCGCAACGAAGCATCCGAAACAAGCATGAGCAGAAGAGTTAGGCAAAGCAAGCAAAGAAAACCCACCCCCCTCAATCCAAGCAGTCTGACAAGGCGTCGCAAGAAACAAACGAAGTAACTACACCTAAGAAGCACTTGAACCACAATTCCTTTATCCAACAAAAACATGAGAAAGGCTCGAGGCAAGCTTCGCTCGCAACCGGAAGCAGAATTGAACACCACGAGCAAGACAAAGCAAGGTGCAAACAGCAAGCAAGGCATCAAGGGCAAGAATGCCAAGCAAGGCAGCAAGCAAGCAAGCAAGCAAGCAAGCAAGCAAGCAAGCAAGCAAGCAAGCAAGCAAGC